GAGAGAGAGAGAGAGAGGCGACACGGTCGAGTTCTTTGGAGGCTGGATTTTGTTTCGCGTTCTCCGCGGCGAATCGATGATCTTCGCTCCACGAGATCCTTATCGAGGTTTATTCATCTTTCGAAATGATACAAACAACGTTTGCTCGCCTTGACATCTGTGTCGGGATAAGCGAAGGAAAATTCGATTTCGTCGTTCTTTTTTCTTAGTCCAAGCTGTGTTAATCGGTTCGTCGAGCGAGGGAGGAGGAACGAGGATGGGAAGGTTCGGTTTCACTTTTAATTCCTCCGCGGGACGGAAGAGCGCGCGGCGGGCGCGCGTATCCATCGCGAACTCGCTTCCGACTTTGCCTTTTTTAATTACGTCCGCACGACCCCTCCGTGTTTCCTTCATCCCTCTCTTTTCAACCTGCGTCGTCCTCTACATCGATAAGATAATTCATCGTACGTACAGCGTACACACTTTTTATCTCGTCTCCCTTCTTCTTCGAGACTCGTTATTAACACCGAGGAAGCTCCTCGGCGCAGCTGCAACTAGGAATTCGAGGCGAGTACTACGTTCGAGGAAAAACATCCGAGATATTTAACCGAGTCAACGAAAAACGCGCGATCCAGAGATTAATTTAGCGCGTTTAAAGGGAAAATTTCGTTTCGAAAAAAAAAAATTATTGTATTCGAACAATAATATATATAAATATATATATATTCGGCTGGGATTAATTTGAAAGAAGGGAAGAAGGGTTGTCCGATATTTTTATTATTCCTCGAGACGCAGTTAAACAAGGATTACGCAACACGATTCGCAACGCACGACACAATATTCGTTCGGCCTCGCGTCAATTAATTGCCATGGAGAAGACGTTTCGTCAAGGTCCTGACATTTAACGGGTCGCTGGATTCTTCGAAAATAACCGGGAAGACAAATGACGAGGAAAGATGGCGCGGCATCGTTACGATCCTCGTACGAGAAAGAGTGAGAGGGGTGAGGCATATATGCAGGCATCCATCAACGGAGAAATTCAAATATGACCGGGCAAAGGGGAAGGGTGGAGGGGAGGCGAAAGAGGAGAAGGAACGGAGAGAAGAAAAACACGTTAACGATACGAGGAACGTGACGTATCGACATCTTCGAAATATTAATATTTATGAGCCTCTTCCTGCAAACCAAGGAATGAATGCACCTGCGTTGTTGTTGCGTGTACTTGCGCTCCTCCGCGCGGCTCGCGACGGAACTGCAACTCGTCCTTTCGTCAATACACGCGTCGCAATTTCTTTCTTCTCTCCTCTTTCCTTTTTTCGCAAACGTGGCCGCAACGTTTGCTCCTCTCGCGTAGAATAGAGAAATCTCTTCCCCTTTTCAACAATTTTTCGATAAATTGCAACGGCGAGAAATTTATTTTTAGAGAAAGATAAATTGTTGCGATTTTAAATTTTACATTTCCATCAGGGAGGAATTTTGTATTATTACGAGGAGGGATAATCAGAGCGCGAAACGAGAAGATATTAGAAAAATTAGAAATAGTTGTAATGATTATTCGCCGAGCGTGTCGAGTTACGGGCCGCGACTTTTTCTTTTTCCCCTTTTTTTTTTTTTTTTTTATTCATTCTCTCGCGATTAACCAGGAATCCCGGAAGTTTTCAACTTAATACACGTCGTGCACGGTCTTAACAGCTCGCAATAAAATCGGACGTAAAACTGGGAAATATTTTAAAAGTTAAAAAGAAAGAGGGGGGGGATTTGAAACGATCTCCAATTATCGAAGCTCGCACGATAATTCGATTATCGATCGATGTGTTTCTTTTTATAAAAAAAAAAAAATCGTTTGATATATATTTTATTCCGATTCTTAGCATCTCGAAGAGAAAATATGAACTCGAACTTGAACTTGTTCCACGATTCTTTTTCAATCCTTTTTTCTTCCCTCTCCTCCTCTCTCTCTCTCTTTTTTACTCAACTTTTCTTGCACAGATCAATCTCGATCGATAAAAATCAAGTCGGGTTTTATTTATTACGCTCGCGTAAAAAAACTTACCGGTTCGACTAGGATTATAATCCTAACAGATTGCTCGTTTTAAACAACGTTGATCAGGCTGATCGATTAAAACGCGAGTTATCCTTAAAATTTTTCGCCCGATTCTTCGAAATCGAGTGAAGAAAACTCGACGGCCGACCCACACGATGCAAGAATTTAAGATAGCTGTTTACAACGAGTTGTCGTTCGAGAAATGGTCGTAACTCGTCCGGAACTGGTTTATTTGAAAAGCTAATCGATACAAATTTACGGTGAACATAAATTTTTTCCAATAATTTATCCTCGATTCATTGTGCTTGCGCATCTTTATATTCTCTCGCGAGAGAGATCAACAACCTCCACTTTGCACGACGTCTTTTCGTTCAGTTATTATTCGATCGATACGATGACAACATTGCATCCGATTTAAAAGCCAATAAACAACGTAACAATTGGAATCGTTGGAGGAAGTGGCTTTAAAAAAATTTATCTTTACGTCATCCTCTCGGTTTCGTCCAATCGACGAATAATAAATTTTCTTTCTCGTATTTCGTATTCCTGGAAAGTGGCGCGCGCGTGCGCAACGCGGGACAAAAAACACGGAAAAATGACGTATCGGATTCTCGTGTCGTTCGTCGGAGGAGAAGAACGATCAGAGGTCGTCTCGATTCGAGCCGATACGCGTCAAGAATTCATTTTCATCCGTTTAAATAATTCAACTGCTGCTCCCAGGTTGAGTCGCATTAAATTGCGAAATGTGCACGGCAAGAAAAGAAAAAAAGTGGTCTCGATTCATCGTCCTGCTCAAATTCAAATTCTAATTCGATCCGAATCGAAATCGAATCGTCGCAGAAAGCAACGACCGATGAATGTCGCTTTCGTACATTTTCAGGGAAAAATTGAGGGACGCATTTTGATTCAATTTTTAATCGAATCGCAAACCGATCGATCTCTCTCTGTCTCGGGATAAACGATCGATTAATAGTACGAATTGGTCGATCCTCGGTTGATCTAGGTCAGTGGTTATCGTTGTTAGTGGGACACGAGTGGAACTTTCTTACGTTTCTAATTATACAGATAAGAATTTTCTGAGAAAAGTTTTCGAAGAATCCTTTAAGTAATCGACGATCGTTCCAGCCATCGTGAAAAAGTTCTTAAAAACAGTTACAGTAATGCGATGATAAATCCATCTCCGTTGGTTATCGAATTAAGATAAACCAGAAGATTTTATCTATTCTCGTCGTCCAAACGTCTTCTTTTCACAATATTTTCTTTCTTCGAATCTCTTATTAAGAACGATTTCGCGATTTTTCTACGTGCGTAATCGTAATCGTTCTTTCAATAACAACTTTTTGCTCTCGTAAACTGTTAGGGACGTAAAAGTTGACACGTTACGTCATCCCGCACGAGACCTAATTTGCTTATCACCAGATATTATTGCAACAGCTGCTTTCAAGCGCGACCTCCTCCATTCGTAATCTTCTTCTTCTTCTTCTTCTTCTTCTCTGTATTATACGATTGTAAATAGCCCGTACGCGCGCTATTGATACGATATTCTGGTTGCGACAGTAGCGCCACTATTATTGTCTCTGTCCAAGTCGCTCCACTCCACTCCTCTCTCTCTCTCTCTCTCTGTGTCTTCGTTACATAAAATGGCTGGTTGTAACACATTTTTGTTCGTTCGTTAAACGGATGAATGGGAGGTTGGCTCGTAGCCGACACGTCGCGTTTTATATTTGTAACGACTCGAATCGATCCGTGCCTCGATTTCACGTCTTAAATTCGTTGTTAAATAATCGCCTCGCACGAACGTCGTTTCGCGTCGAACGCGCACGCGCACGCGAGAGGAACTAGGCTAAGAAGAGATTAAATTTATTTTTACAGCTTGCAAAACTCGTAATAACAATTTTTTACAGCCGGAGCATTAAAATTCTCTTTGTAATTTTTCCTTCCCATTTCTTTTGTGGAAGCGTCGCGGGAATTAATTTTTCCCCTTTTTCTTTTCCTCTCCTCTCTCTCTCTCTCTCTCTCTTCACCGGAGAAACCAGACAAACCATTCGCTCGCTCTCTAACGAGCGGTAAATCATTTCCATAGAATTCGTTTCATTTCGAACATCGCGAAGAACACCGTGGAAAAGAGAATAGAGAAATGCGAGAAGACGACGCGAGATTGGACGGGATAGGTCGGCCGAGGAGGTCCGTTTGCTGATCGATCCTTTTGCTTCGATCGTTCGCGAGGAAAAATGCGATGGATCTGAACGTGTGCTCGCGCCGGGTCCACGACGGTTACGCGACGATAAGGTCGAGGGGCCGCGCAAGGCCCCGGGCCCTCTACAGATCCGACTCCGAGGAACTTCTGAAGGAGGGCGGCGGCCCCTACGCCCTCCCCCGCCTCTCCAATTTCCCCGTCGACCCCCACCAGCCGGCCAGATGGTCCGATTTCGCCAACGATTGCCACCTGATCGAGAATTACGCCACGCTGCGGGGAGGTTGCGGGACCATCGCCTCGAGAAAGGTGGCGGTGGAGCAGCAGAGGAGGGTGGTGACTTTGAACACGTTCTCGAGCAAGGCGAAGGGTTGCCAGCGACGGGACGATCGGATCACCTTCGATTCCTTTCGATCGAGCAACGATTCCTCGGTCATCACCGCCTCCTCGACCATCGATCCGAACGAGTCGACGGGGATCGAGGCGGCGGAGGGGAGGGGAGAGACGAGGTTGAAGAAGGGAACAAGCAACCGATCTACGCGGTCCCGAATATCTTGTCGAAGTCGTCGAGGCGCGATCGTCGGATCGCCGTAGTGGACGGGAATTACGTGGCGAGCGGTGACCTGTATCGCACCACGGCCAAGTACATCGAGGATATAAACAAGAACATAGCCGAGATCGACAAGAGTTACGAGGAGTTGAAGAAGAGCTCGAATCCCGACGATCCCGGTTACGGTTCCATCAACAAGATCGCGATCAAGGAATTGGATCGATCGTGCAACCTTTACGGCTACGCGAGGAAGAGGGACATGGCGCCCATGCCCCCGATATCCTGCGACTTTGGCGAGAGCTTGGACGAGAGGGGCGAGAGGCAGGAGGAGGAGGAGGAGGAGGTGGTCGACCCGAGCGACAAAAGGAACGAGTCGGACAATTGTTTCGTTTTCAAAAGCAGGCCCAACTCGTTGGGCAAACTTCCGCCGAAATTGCTGCCGAGATCGTCCTCGATCGAGAACGCTTCGAGGCACTCGACCGGCTCCACCGCCACCACCGCCTCCTCCTCCTCGACCACCACTAAATCCAGCGAGTCGTTGTACGCGATCAGCGAGGCGTGGACGAGCGTGGACGCTCGGCGAAACGTGGAAAGGAATCTGTCGCCGCGTAGCGCCAACGCTGAGGACGAGATCGAGTCGAAGGACGAGTCCGTGTCCTCGACCGACGACGACAGACCGATCGTCCGTTCCGTGGATCGTTTGCCGCCGGTCACCGGTCCGATTCGAAAGAATCGTTCGAGAGTGGACCGCGCGGACGGAACGTGTTCGAGGAGGGAGACGGTCGAGAGAAATTTCCAGGAATCGAGAGGAGAAGGGAAGGTTTGGGAGGGGAACGGTTGCCCGGGGAGAAGATACGACACTCTGCCCTCTCGAAGATCGAGAGCCTCCTCGAGACCTCTTCACAAATCGAGCGAAGACGTTCTCGACGGTGAACGGGTGAGATCGTCGTCCTCCCTTCGAAGGCCTTGCGCCAGCGACGTCGATGTCAGTCATCGAGATCGAGACGACGATCGGAGAAACTACGAAAATTCTTGCCCCTCTTCCCTTCCCTTCTACTTGATGGACGCCACCGACGTTATAATGCACGGGCGGATGGACAGAGGCCGCAAGTTCCGCAGGCAGCATTCGGATCATTTCTCGAGGCTGTTCCACGGTAGGACGAGGCACAATTCGTTGGAATCGGAGGAGGCCGAGGACAGGGATGATGATGATAACGAGGATGGTAATAATTGTCGGCGAGGCGGCTTCGCCACTTTGCCTAGAAGAGGAGGAAATCTGTCGAAGGAACAGCCGTCCAACGATCCTCTCAGACGTTTATCCGGCAACGTGCCGATCCTCGAGCCGCTTTACGAGCACGCGGTCAGCGATCCGGTTAAACCGAGGAGCACCGAGAACGTGATTCCTTGGTGGGAACTGGCCACTAGGAAGTACAGGCATCGAAGTTGTCCCTCGTTGCAGGTAAACAAAGCTGAAAAAAAGGAAAATCAATCCGTATTCGAGCTCCTTAGTTACATTACATATACGTTTCGCGTATCCTTGAAAAATGTGAAAACTTGTATTCTTTTCTTCGATCCTTTTTCGCTATTGGCGATTTTTCCGCCGCGCCACCAAAAACGGCCGCGTTTAACGCCTCGCTGCAACCCGAGTTGCTTTGACGGTGTTTATCGAAAAGAAAAACGTTTCCTCGAAACGAGGTATTTGTAACTTCTGAAACATATTCGCTTTTTAATTGCATTATTTCGAATCGAATAACATTACGGAATATAATAATACGATATAATTGTACGATAATCCTTGTTCTACAACAACGAGCGAGACTCGTGGTAAGAAATTTGGGCCAAAAACTATAAGCACGAGTCTGACTCGTCGTACTTCGTCCGGACGAAACGTAAACAACGCGAGCTTGACTCGTGCTACTTCGTTCGGACAAAACGTAAACAACGCGAGCCTGGCTCGACGCGTGACCTTGTTTATTGTGGCCCGAGAAATAGAACGAGGAATCGATACGTCTTCTTGTCTTATTTTTCGTCATTTTAAGGTGGATGGAATAAAATCCGTTGGAAAATAATTAATCCGAAAAAGGTAAACAAATTTGAAAAGTAACAAAGTATATCTTCGCGTCCGTTGTTGGAAAAAAAGAATAAATTATTTTTCTTCGGTAAGTGCTAACTTTATTCGCTACAAGTGTTCGTCTCCAAACTATTTTGGCATTTTTTTCTTTTTTGGTGATTTTTATTATCGAGGAATCTCGTGAGAAACAAAGTATCGATGCTACATTTCCAGAGAAAGATACTCGATACGCGATAATTCAAATCGCTCGTCATACATACAATATTTGGCATTTTATGGACTATAGTTATCGACTATAGTAAATAGAAACAGTTAATCCTTCGCGTTGCAACGTTGACTCTCGGTTTGATGCGACAACTCCAGCGATGACAATGTTTATTTATGTTTGATTTTTTAAAATCTTCCTTCACGAATAGATTCCTAAACTCTTTACGTATAATCTTATAAAACGTAGAATGATGTATATCCGTGATCGAGCTACGTTTTCGACAGTTCGAGTTTTGTGAACATAGAATACGGTAATGAAATTAGCTCAAGATGAATTTGATTTTTCATTATTAAAACGAAATTATTCGTTGATAAATTGACGATAGTATAGTATAAGAAGATGAAAAATAAGAATAATAGAAGAGGCGCATCTTGTTTCAACGATAATTAAATTATTATTAAAATATCGCAACGATACAGATTTTAATATTCGACGAATTCTCTCTCTTCTTTGTACGGTAAAGTATTAAAATACAAAAATTTTAACCAGCTAAGAAATTCACGGAACGGGAATCGTGGAGTCGGCCAACAAGCGAGAAAGGCCTTGGAGGATTAAAGTCGCGCGGAATCTCGATTGGAACGATTCCGCTACTTACGCCTAACGATTGTTCGAGTTCTCTTCCTCGAACTCGCTAATTGCAGACCTCGAACGCTGCCACGTTATTGCATTATTGTGTAGCATTGTTGCGCTCTTCCGTCATCAATCGAGGAAGAAAAATTATTTATACTCGCGATCTTAATTCGACAACGGTAAAAGCGACGACTAAGATGATTTTTCACGGGAAAAAGGAGAGGAAGGAAATGAATGAATTCGAACGCGGCCGCTCTCGATCGTCGGTGATTTATCTCGCCTTGCGTGTCACCGCTTAAACCGGTGCGGGTAGGTGGAGATATACACGAATAATAAATTCGATAATAAGACGTGACGGGTGGAGCCGTCAAACGAAATTAAACCAAGCGCATACCATTGAACCATTAGAAAGACGATGCGTAATAAAGCGTAGGTCGACAATGCCACTCTCGTGCTCCCGATTGAATAATTATGCACCGAATATCCTCTCCTCTCAATTGTCTCCTCCCCCTTTTATAATATTCGCTTTTTCCCTGTTTCTTCTTCGTTGCAGAATATCTGAGAATTTGTGTTTCAAACTTTCCTTCGATCCGAGCAAAATTTCGAAACACGAAACTATTAGGAACAGAAACGTATTCCTAAGCGTATTTCTCCCTTGATCAAGTAGAATGGAAATATTCTATTCTATTCTAAATGATTAAAAATAATTTAAAAATTTAATTATATATCTCGAAAATAGGAGAGCTAAATTTATATTATTTTTTTTGTAAAACTAAAATTATAAATATAGATTTAGAAATTAAATGTTAAACGAACTTATTGATATCTAGTTTTTTTTTTTTTAGAAATAAATTTAATTTAGGTATAAAATTGTTAATAAATTAAATTTTATATTAAAAATTTATGGGATAAATTACGAATAAAAATTTCATTTATTTAATTTTAATATTATGGAATGCCAAATTTATGAATAAATAAAATTTATTAAAATTAGCTTGGCAAGATCACGTGCATCATTTTGAATACAAGACACGAATGAAAATGAACGCCAGATGACTCGAAATCCCACGATAGCCTGCCAGATCTCTTTTAATAAAATGACATGTAAAATGTATAAGGAGGAAGAAGGGAGAGAGAGATGAAACGGGAAGGAATTGAATCCTTCGTGTGCAATTTGTCAGATTGCAGCGCATCAAAGTGACAAAAAATAACAGGCTGCATAAAATGTATGCGTGGTGTGCACGTTTGATAAGCCTCTTGAAGTCGATTTCAGAGTTCGATCGATATCGTAATGTCCATGAATACGATGTGCTGCATGTAACAATTATACAGTCGCATTTACAGGTTTTTTACAGGCTTGCGCCGTATTTATACGCCGTACGACGCTGCACTCGATCTTCATTTAAATAACGATAATCATCGTGTCATCGAATAAATTA